GAATGGGCGACGGGGGATGGATCACTTGATGATTCCTTGTTCTGTTCATTCCCGCTGGGGCATCTGGCATTGGCCACTGTTGGAAGACAGGATATTGGGCTAGATGGACCTTTGGTCTGACCCAGTATGGCCGTTCTTATGAGTGAACCCAAACCTTTGGCATTTGTGAAGGTCTCCATCCCTGAATGCCACGTCTCCACGCCCCGCCGGCCCAGGCTCACCCTGCTATCAGTGGTGAGCACATTGCCGCTCCCAGGCACTGAGGCGCAATGACATTCGCATGCCAGGCCTGGGCTTTGCAGAGCCCGGTGCAAAGGAAAGGGTGAGGGGGCCTCGAGCAGACTGGGACTGCTTGGCAGGGGGAGGATGCTCATTAGGGAGATGGGAAGGAGGGGGGGACAGGGCACTTGTCATGTCTGTGGTAGTGTCACAAGCAGGGAGCAGACGGACAGGGAAGATTTCAGCCCCTGGGAGGGGGTTGGGACTGTGCAGTTCAAAGGAGGGGGAGTCAGGCCATGGAGAGGGGGATGAGCTACATTGCATGCTGGGACGAATGCTGACAAAACAAAGGCCTGCCACAGTGTGGCTGAACAATTAGGGTATCTATCTAGGGCTGGCCCTGTTAGCTGAGAAATCCCCAGGGAGCTCCTTCTTCTCTCAGCAGCATCCTCTCCTCACTGACTTTCAAAGCACGCTGCTTTGGTGTCTTCAAACAGCTCTGAGCTGAAAGCAGCTGGGGTGGTTTCACGCCCCTCCTCTTCCCCCAACCAGATGTATTTTCTTTCTACTGTTTTGCCCTTTATTGATGGTGTGCAGAGCTCTGCTTTCACTAAGGGCAACTGAAATGCTGCTCCTGACTGCGATTTTGGAGGTGCCAGCTGATCAATAGGATAGCGCCAACGTGGTCCGTGAAATCGCCGGCTCTGCACTGGGCCATGTTGTGCAGGATCTAAGCCGGCAGCTCAGCGATCCAATCAGACCTCTCTCCCCAAGGACCTACTTCATGGGGCAACGGCTGCCTGCAAAACTTGTTGTTACTTGTTTGTTTGCTGGTTAGTTAAATAGGTTCGTTGGGGACCGAGTCTGATCTCGCTGACGACAGTGTGAATCCAGAGTAACTCCATGGAAGCTACTGGAGACAACTCGAGTTATGTTGCTGCTGCTAAGAGCGGAATTCATCCGTTAGATAGTTGTGTAGAAGCAAATTCTACCCTGCCTTGTATCCCTGGCCCCCTCTCTGTAAGCAGTGGGGTTGCTTAGGGCAGAAGTTATCATTTGGAGTTCCAGGGGGAGGGATAGCTCAGTGGTTTGAGCATTGGCCTGCTAAACCCAGCGTTGTGAGCTCAGTCCTTGAGAGGACCATTTTAGGGATCTGAGGCAAAAATCTGTCTGGGGGTTGGACTAGATGACCTCCTGAGGTCCCTTCCAACCCTGATAGTCTATGATTCTATGATGTTTCAGAGGAAGGAACAAACAACTAACCCTTAATGTACCTATTCAACTGTGCAATCCTTTGGAGTGGTGGGAGATTCCTTTTGAACGCCCCCAGCCGATCAGTGCGTGCTCTGCACTCTGGAGCAATCGAACTGGGATTCCTGGTAACTTTGGCCAGGTCTACACTACCGCGGTAGTTCGACGGCTGGCAATCGAACTTACGGGTTCGATTTATCGCGTCTGGTCTGGACGCGATAATTCGAACCAGGAAGTGCTCGCCATCGACTACGGTACTCCACCTCAGCGAGAGGAGTACTGCGGAGTCGACGGGGGAGCCTGCCTGCCGCGTGTGGACCGTGTCTGAACCGCGGTAAATTCGAACTAAGGTATGTCGACTTCAGCTACGTTATTCACGTAGCTGAAGTTGCGTACTTTAGATCGAATTGGGGTGTTAGTGTAGACCAGGCCTTTGTGACTTGGTTTCTGCATCGGACAAGGTTCTTCTTGGAGGTCA